AAGTTGTGTGTAGTCGGCGTTCGCGTAAGCGCAAGTATGTATGTGCAAAAGCAAATAACCCCCCTCCTCCCCTCCCCTCCACTGGCCCACGTGACACACACACACACACAAGGCATGTCCATATACGTAATAACACAGCTGCGATCTTAACTTAGTTCTGCACACATAAAAAAACCACAGAAGATTGAAATCTTGTCAGTAGAGCTGAAACTATTTGTTGGCCTATACATAAATCACAACAGAACGTTATTCCACAAACATTTTCTAATAGTTTTCTTCTTACTTTTTTAAACAAATTAAGTGATTTATGAGGCAAAAGTACCAAATGCATTGTTTTTCTCTCTTTTATATCAGTGTACATTTACATACAATAAACTACAAACTGAACAAAACATAATTCACAGATTAACTGATAATGAAATCAATCATTACTCCTCCTAGATTACTGACCCACTTCCACCTGACTTTCTCATCATTTATTTGTTAAAGGTTTTCTTCTCAAACTCAACCTGATGACTAAACTCACAAGACGTCTAAATGTAGTTCAAATGTGTCTTTAAGCTCGCAGTTTTCAGGTTCTGCATCACTAAATTTAAAAAACAAAAACATCCTCAGTCTAAATAGCAACTTTGTACACTGTGTTTATATTGACATGTCATTTTCACCCACTGTTGCTCTTTCAGGCTCTATGGGAGGTCTTTTCATGGATGGGGAGGACTCAGCCACAACAAACCCTGTGGAGGACATCAGCAAGTGGAGTGTAGAGGACGTGTGTGGCTTCATAAGCAGCCTGACTGGATGTGCTGAATACACACAGGTGAGGACATAGGGAGAGGGAGGAGAGAGAGAAAGAGAGGCCAGGGGCAGGCTGACGACTACAAACCATAGAAGAATAGTGACCAAGATATAATACATAATGCAGCTCTACTGTAGTACTTTCAAAAAGACATCTCGATATACATCGATAGAAGCACTACACCTGCACAGCAGTTTTTCCCATGTTTATTGTGGACGTGTGTGGATGCATGAATGGCCACGTTTATAATTGTAGCCATATTTGTGGGCTTTGTGTGAATGAGGGTGAGTTAGCAGTGCATGTGGGGTGTACACCTGTAGTTTGTGTGAATGAAATGTGTATTTGTGTGTATATACATCTACTGTTCCAAAATGAAATATCCAGCTTTTGAGAAAAATGAACCAGTCTTACCTTTTATTTCTCTCTTTCACAAAACAGAAAAAAAAAAAAAGTCTTTGAAAAGTCTAAAAACTATACTCCCATGCAGATATGTGTCACTGTAATCATTTTGGCTGTAGTGTTAAGTTAATTCCTTCCTTACGTGACTCCAATATAAGACATGGAAACAATCTTTGTTCCAAGCAAAAAGATTTATAAAGTTCATCTGAGGCTAATGTGAGACTTCAGCTGTCTTCATGGTACGAAATTCCCTTTTAGCTTCAGATGAAAATCTTTTTTGCAAGGAGTAATACTGTGAAGTGTGTTCCTCTCGTCTCTTATATTGAAGTCACGCTATGAACAGATTTCTTTATGGCCAGTTTGGACAGGAGGACTGATTCCAGAGACCAATAACACTCAATATACATATGTGCATGTGGATATTGTATTAAGAGACAGCTGAAAAAAAACTAAATCGGAAATGCTCCTTAAAACCCTAATCAGCCAACATGTTCTCCACACCTGCATCCTTGTAAAAATGTTGAATGATAATCTTCAGCTTTTCCTCTCAAAATGGGTGTGTAACATTTTGGAATAGAGCCACTGTTTTGTAGGTTGTGTGAATGAACGTGTGTGTAGTGCGTTTGTGTGTATATGTCGGGGCTGTGGCTGAAGCGGCTGTGTCTCTGCCAGGTGTTTCGGGAGCAGGCCATTGATGGAGAGACATTACCGCTGCTCACTGAGGAGCACCTGCTCAGCACCATGGGACTAAAGCTGGGGCCTGCGCTCAAGATCCGCTCACAGGTACACACACCACAGACCTGCGTGTGTGTTTGTGTGTGATCAAGTGGACTTGTTGTGTGTTTGAATGTGTGTTTCTGTCCATAGGCCAAAGACAAACTAGCTAGCGTAGCATAGATGATTCCCTTAAACGTAGCCAGCCCCAGACTGCAGCCTCTCTTCTTCTCTCTCTGTTTAAAATACAGCATTAGTCCATTATTCAACACTCAACAGGCTGCACTGACAGTCATATGGTCTCCCCCCGTCTCCTCAGGTGGCGCGCCGTGTTGGCAGGCTTTTCTACATGACTGGATTCCCGTTGGCGTTCCCGTTTCCGCCTTCTGCCGCGCTACGCCCCCCAGAACGGGATCGGGACCCCCTGACCACGCCATCTGACACCCCCCTGCCTCTCTCCCTGTCCCTGCCCCACAGACCAACCTCCACCAGCAGCAGCTCCTCTCCGTACAGCGGCCCCACCCCAGGGTGCTCCTCCCCCAAGCAGGAAAACGGTAACGGCTCCACAGTGGTGGGGAGATACGAGGCCAAGACTCCTTCGTAGGAGAGGACGGGCAGGGGCGAGGAGGGCAGACCTGCCTCAAACTAACCTGACCCAGAGAGATTGACTCCCAAGCCCCATTTACCAGACTCCCTCCACCTCGGGACCTTTACGCTGAAATTAATGGGAAAATATTGGACTGAAATAAAAGACGATATGGACCGTATCCGACAAACCAATCAGCTTCTGAGTTCCTCGGCAGTGGCTGTAGCCGAGCAGAATCCAAACAAACTGGGTTGGAAGGGAGACACGTGAAGCGACAGAGGAACAGAGAAAGAGAAAACTAAGGAAAAGGAGACAGCTGGTCACAGACAGCCTGCCAAAAAAAAAAAGGAGCGAAGCCCTGCCACAAATGCGACATTCTTGCAAGTCAGACAGTCAGACGCTAGCGGAAACTCTTCCTTCCTTCCTGGGCTGGAGGAAGCTCTGCTCACTCGCTTTCTTTCTCTTGTCTCTATCTCTCTGACTGCTCTCACCACAAGCCCTACAGAACCCAGGAATTAAAAAGAGACGGCTCACCCCTTTTTTCTCTGCTTCCCTCCCCTCCCTTCTTTCCTTCTCCTCGCCTGTTTCCAGAGGCCAAACAGCAGCGTGGAGCTGTCTTTATAGAGGCTGGAGTTGAAACATATGCTGAGCAGCACCACATCTGACCAGCTCCCTCTTATCACTGCAACTATGCATTCCACTGTCCCGATACCAAAGATGACCGGATGTGTGGAATTGGAACCGTGTTTCACAATGTGTCTGCTTCTTTTTGCATTAATGGTCTCAGAGAAAGACTGGTCCAACAGGGAAATGCTAGGGTAGTGCCTCACATGATGGTCTGTATTTGAGGTGACACAGGCAGAGCTGTCATTTACTGACATACTAATGCTTACAAATGTTGGTGAAATGGAGAAGCCTCAATGGTGTGTACGGCTTACGTCATTGTACGCTTGTGTTGACTACTGTGGGAGGTAGGAAAAACATGCAAAATTGTACAGAATCATGCTTAAGATGAAAATATCCTGAAGGTTACATACGTGGTACTTTTACTTTTTGTTAAATGTAGTTGCACGAATAAGGTTTTCTTTACTGAAAAATGTGACTTGCTGAACTTTGGTGGTACTTCTGTTCATACTGTTTTGTTCTGCCATTTTTTTTAAAGTGTAATATTAAAAGACGCTCCAATCTTGAATGCTACTTCAGCATATAAATATGAGGAAAAAAATATTTATAGGACTTTTGATGTAGTAGATAAAGCAGATTATGATATGTATTATAATTAGCCCTTAAGATGGATTCCAAAGATACTTTAACTTTGTTTTCTCTTGGTTGCAGGGAAAAGAAAGGCACAAAGCTCTTAATGCAAATGTTTTGAATTTGTTATGGATTTTTTTTTTAAACTACGCAAGCAATGAATTAAAAATGGTCTCTAGATTTCCCTTCAAAAGTTTTGTCTTCATCCTATTTTTCTATTCACCACACAGGTGAAATAAATCCTAAAGAAATTCCTCTGCTTTCTCTCTCGTGTTTGTGTGCCTGTGTGAGAGAACGTATACTCGCCTCTTCCTCTTCAGGTGTTTGTGGTTCTTCTGTGAAAACATGCAGGAGGGAGTATGCGGTCTCCTGATGCGTGCGTGTGTGTGAGAAGGGGAGGTGACCCATGGGGGGCACAGTTCAGGTCAACACCAGCTGTCAGAGTGTGAGGTTCAGCCGCAGGCCAAGGCCTCCCTTGCCTGTGGGGATAAACCTGACCCTCAAAATCCACCCACACACACATACAGGATCAGAACCAGGAACACCCCCCACTCACTCTTACCTTCCTCCTTCAAAGAGTTTACACTGAAGCACTGCACTCTACTGGGACTTCCCCTCGCTTTAGGCTGGGCCTCTGCACCACAAGATTCTGTATTCACTGCAAACGACTACAGAGGAAATCTGACGACACAAAAGTGGTTCTCAAATCAAATCTCCATTGTGGCGTTTAAATCCATTTCAAACAACTCATCTGCCCGGCATTGTACGCCAGTGAATGGATGCAATAATCGTTCGCCTAACAAAAAGGCCAATACCACCTTTAGTTTAGTGGTGAAGTCGAGAAAAAAAGGAGGATAAGTTTGAGGAGGAAAGCTGTGTCTGAGCATGTGAATACACAGACAGAAAAGACAGTGGTCTGGGCGGGGGGTGGGTGAGGAGTTGGCACAGAAACAGACCAGCCTGTGTTGCTGCTCTACCACCTGGGCAGAGAGTCTTGGCACAGCATCAGACGCCACCCTGCCAGCCTGGCACAGCACTGCTGCCTCAGGGCTAAACACCCGCCTCTCTGTACCCCTCCTCTTGGCCGGCCAAGCCTGGCTCGGCCCGGCTCAGCAAGGCTCGTAGCTCTCTCCAAATAGCCCGTCCTCACAAGGCCTGAGGGTGCCTACAGGTGTGCACACGTACAGAGGACACAAACGACTCATTTAAGGTGCACTTGTGCATCAACATGTACAAGCACGTACACGCTTCATTTAATTAGTATCTTTAAAAAAAAAAAATCCAAGGAAAACAATCTAGATTCTTGAATTCTGTCTTTACTTTTTTTACAGTTTAGATGCTTAATAAAACTACATCATGAACATGTTTGCATTGTACAGGTCAAGTAATACAAAATTCAAAAGCAAAGAAAATAGCAAATAGTCCAATATGATTTGAAGCATAGCTGGTCGGTGAAGTCGAGAACATCTCTCAGGTGAGCTCGAGTGTGCCCATGAACCTCAGTCGTCATCAGACAGCTCCAGGTCCTCCACCAGATCCTCGCCTCCTTCTGCCAGCTTTATCAGAGCAGAGGAAGACAGCGGCTGAGGAGCCTTGGAGGCCTTTCCTTCCTCTTCCTCATCTTCATCATCTAGAATGCAAACAGGAAGCACTTTAACTTGACATTCAGCCACATGGGGATACATGAAGTGCAGCAGGTATGGAGAAGTTATGTTTGATAGTGTGTGAGGATATTTTGTGTTTATTAACGTGCTGCACTTTCACCAGTTCTAACTGTGAAGGCATATTATTACAACTGGGTTTAGTTTATACAGCAGCCCACAGGAGGCGAGAGTGCTGTACTGCAGTAGTAGTACTGCGGTAGCCATCTTGGATCTAGATAGTTGTTGACAAAATACACTAATACACACCTACATTATATATAGTGTTATAAACTATGAAATGTGTATATGCTGCTTATAAATGCTAAAAAGCGTACAATTTTACCCAATTACTGAATTTATTTCAAATAAATATTGTTGCTTTACAACATTTATTCTATTCGACTTTTCCCCTCAACGATCTTCTTCTCAGTTCTGAAGCTACACTGAATGTCGTTGCTTGGGTTTATTACACTATTATTTAGACTTTTGGACTGATTTATGTGGATACATTTCACATTTTGGCAGTTAAACATGCCGTTTTATTTGACATCCCTTAAATTTATTTTACAGGACAACGAGGGATTCTGTTGTGTTAACATAAATTATTAATTCGAGGAAGTTAAGTATTTCTGCAAAACGGTTATTAATTTGAAGTCACACCAAGATATTCCACAAATGATAACACTACGAGCAGCAAATCCTCAGAATACAAATAAGATATTTGACATTTTTCACCTTTAGTAATGACTAAAAAATTATGAAAATGATTCAATTATTAAAATAGATATTTTCTGTTGATCGACTAATCCATTAGTTTTTGCAGCTATACAAAAATGATCTAAAGTTTTACCCCTAACACCTGCCACCCTTGAGTAATGAGACAGTAAACACATGCACTGATATACAGGGTAATACAGTCTCTTCTGTGTATTAAATTAATGAAAATAAAGCAAACAGAACGTATAAAATAACTTCTTTCTGGACGTTGATATTGTACCAACCTGAGTCTCCGCCCTCCGTCCCCTCGTCATCGCTCATGTCAGAAAGATCTTCAAGATCATCATCATCATCATCGTCATCTGACCCACGGCCGCCTCTTTTACCTGAGAAGAGACAGTAAAAAACATTACACTGCGTTGAATTTGTTTCTTCCTTCTGACATTCCTAAGTTTGCGTTGGTGTATCGCTGACGTCTGTGGACTGTGGAGACACCTATATGTGGGCCAGGCATCAGAGGCAGTTTATTTCCTCCTGAGATGGAACTGAGAGTCGATTACAGACGCCGCTGCTGCTGCACAAACACCCATGACAGTTTACTACCGGCAATTTCAGACATCTTATGCTCACGGCCTAAATATAGCAAATGGAGATAGCAGGCAGGTTCCGCAGCTACGATGAGGATGGGAGAGTCTGTGTGTGTGCTGGTGTGCGATTGTGTGTGCCAGAGAGAAGTTGGGAGTTTGTCTGAATTTGTGTTGTGGTATATTCAATGTGTGTGTGTGTGTGTTGTCTAGCCAAAGGGACAACTGGGGTCCACAGGCTTTGAAGTTGAGGTGTGATGAGAGGCTGAGGAGGAGAGAGAGAAGCAAAACAGAGCTACTTCCTCTCTCTGCTACACCTCAAAACAGACACTTATACAAGAAGAGCACACACGCACACTCATGTGCACTCGTGTGCACTCATTACACAATGAGTGCACACACTGATAAAGACCATCTATTAAAACATTAGGGACTTCCCTTCATATCTAAATATAAGATGACAAACATACTCTCACTCCTTCCCGCTCTTTGTTGCTCAGATGGCACTAGAAGACTTCAGTAGTACCTTAGAGGTTGCCCCCAAATGACCTGGAAGACTTATTACCACCACACACTGAGACCACCACCACTACCACACACACACACACACACACACACACACACACATATATACACATCAATCTAAATCATCAGCCCCCTCCTCTCACACTCCCTCTCTTTCCGGGAGTATGTGAGACCACAAAGAGCTTTGGTGAGCTGCCCAAAAGCTTTTGGCTCTTCAAGACTGGACGAGAAGGTGGTGGGTGTGCGCTATCATCGAGATGTGTGTGTGTGTGTGCGCACGTGTTGCGAGGACATGCGGGGGCAGCTGGTTGAAGCCCACAGAGCCAGAAAGAGAGAGCGAGAGAGCCAGAATGAAAGAGGAAAGAGGGAGAGAGGGAGTGGGAGCGGCCACCTCTGGCTGTTCCACTGGACTGGTTTGAATTAGGAACCCCCGCTGGGATCCAAGCCTGTACTTCCTGTCGGGGGGTTCAGTTCGTGTGTGTGCGCAAGGGGTGGGAGGGGTGGAGGAGAGACGAACGAAAGGGAGGGAGGGTTGGACAGAGAGTGAGGCGGAGGCCTGCTGCTTGCCGGCAGCTGCCCATCCGTTTGTGGGGACTCTCCCTACAATGAAGTCCAGATGCATTTGCAAAAAAAAAAAAAAATCCCCCTGCCGCCTACTCCTTTCCTCTGTGACCTTGCGGAGGGCTTTTTTCTGCTTGGAGCGTGTCTGAGTGTAAAGCTGTAAAAGCGAGGTTGCAGCTGTCTGTGACCTGTGGACGACCCCGTGAGGACGAGACACTCCGGGGTTAAAGGAAGATCTGGACCAGGGTTCCTGCCTGCAGAGAGAGAGAGAGAACCCCACTATCTGACAGAGATTTCCTCTTGATTTGGGATTTAATTTTCAGTCCCTCAGGAACGGCCTCTGTTTTAATAGCTCCTTGTGGTAACTGCTTTGCTGGTGAACTGCTTCAGTGGTGGAATGTAACTAAGTACATTTACTCAAGTAGTGTACAAGTACAAATCTGAGGTTCTTTTTATGCAACTTTAAACACCTGGGCGATATACCAGATGAACCGGTTTTAATTTCCTGTATATGATATTTTCATATTCCGCCATACCGTTAACACTGCTGTAACTCCTTTGTTTCTTGTGCAATAGAATATCTGAAAAATATCCCTCTGAATATACTTTTATGTAAGTTTAGCGTTTATTCAACTGAATTAAAATTTATTTTATTTTGAAAATGAAGCAGTGGTAAAGTTGTTGGCATTTCTTTTTTACTTTAAGTTCTATTTTTACTATGCTGCAGTTTGCACAATA